TGAAAAGCTCTTTCGAATGGTATGTCACTTGCCTCATGACCCTATAGCATAACCGCACAAGACCTCGAGTTCAAAAAGTATAAGTTCTTTGCGGCGCCACGTCAAGGGTTGTGAGAGAAGGGCGGTAGCGCGTTACCATAATAATAGGCGAAGCTCGCTTATGTGAGCGACGTCTAGGTTGTAGCTTGTTTATTGTTAATCAATACAAAAAAATCTCAAAATCTAATAAAAATCAAGCTGTCCCACTTTTTACCGATCACCCTGATATTCAAAAGAAAGTCACATACCTCATGTGTAGAGCTCGAAAAATTACTGCTTCCAAAAATGAGTGGCTGTTGCAACGGCGATAATCCCACAGATCTCCTGAAACCGCACGCAGTAGCAAAGGGGCTAACAATAAGATTCGGTTAATCGCTAACTTGAAACGATTTTCTTTTAAAAGCGGTTTCTCAACATAATCTGCTCGATTGGTGGTTTCGGAGTAGAAAGGAACATATTGCTGCTTCTTTTCTTCTTCTGGGTTGTCCCTACAAAAGTGCAACTACTCGATAATTCAAAACTCTTTGTCGAAATATGAAAAATGCCTTGGTCATTACTTTATTGCAACGCTATGCGCCACTTTGGGCGAATACGCCTCTCTACTAGTGGTTTGCGAGTAAAATGGTACGGCGCTTTCTTTCTCCTCAGACAATGATGGGACCCTGTAAATGGTTTCACAGACTCCTACAACAGTTGAGGATTTGGCAGAAACCAACCTTGTTTTATGAACCGGTTCTTTCCAAGTAAAGTGTGAACGGTTGGTCGTTTCACCATAAAATGTAGGTCTGACGTTACTGGACCTCCGCTCATACATTTCCAAGCCTCTATTCGGATTTCCATGGGATACCGGAATAGGCGCTGCATATTCGATGTAGTCATCAACAGGCTCTAAATGCAAATTTTTCCTTGCAAAAATCTCATCTGACGGGAAACCTGACATGGACATCTTCATAAAAGGCATAATCTGATATATTCTCATAGCAAAAACATATAGGTCGTTTGCTTCTATCTAAAACTCACCATAGTTGTGAAAATAGACATCGTTTGCACCATGCGGTTCTATTTGATAAAATCCGTCGTTATCGTATTCTTCATAAAAGTCTGTAATAAAGTTTTATGCAATAAAAGGTAATATGGGGACTAACCTTCAGTTGGCATATAGGATTCAAAATGCGGAGTCGTCAAGGAAACACCGCAAACGGGAAGAACACTTTATTTGTGTCGTTAAGCTCCTTCATCATGTATGAGGAGATGGCGAAAATGCTTCGAATTCTATCAAAGGTGCACACAAAGGCAAAATCATCTTAAGGTCAGAGAGTTACTCAGTGGCAACTTTTCTTCAATATATCGTCATGATTTGGCAACTAGAGTTTCAACAGAAAACTACTTTTTCAATAAGTGGAAATTTTCAATTTCTTGAAGCTGTTTAAGACGAAATTAAGAATATTTGTGGATGTGGAGGCTAACGCGTGTTGAACTTAGGCGAATAACGCCTTTTGTAATGTGTAAGGCTGCCGTCATACTGAGCCGGAAGTTCGGGAACAGTAC